AAAGTCAGATACGGCCAGACAACAAGACGATTCTGAATTAAGGATCAACAATACCCATCAGACACGCGGTGGAAGCTGCTGCCTTGTTACCTAACCGGACACAGTGCACACTCAGAAGCCAGCTCCCCACATACAATCATTTCTAAGGGAAACCTGAAATAATTATATTATTATTATTAACAACAACAATTTATAATCAGATTATTATTACAATCTGAAAAAATAATATTACTTACTACTCCAAAAAAATATATTTTGACTTTTGTAATAATAATAATGTCAAAATTAATAAGTAATACATTGTTGTTATTATTATTGTTAACAACAATTTACATCAGATTATAATTACGATCTGAAATGATATTATAAATCCAAATTATAGCAGTAATAATATGTTGGCACAATTATTATTATTAGAATGTGAATTATTATTATTTCAGATTGTAATAATAAAGTGACATACACTGAGTGGCCAGATTATTATGACCACCCCATCAGTACTTCGTTGGGCCGCCTCGTGACTCCACGAGATGTTGAAAGGTGATGGGAGGAATCTGACACTGCACTGTTGCCCTTCTGTTGTCTTGTACCAGTCTTGCCACTCTCCGTTCTGCCCTAACATTGACTAGTCGCTGACGGCCACAATTCACACGTTCAGACCCAGATTTTCGGCTGACAGTCCGGTCTTTAAACACTTTAACAATGAACTGCTCTTGAACATTTAACGAATTCTGCTGTTTTGCTGATACTCGCTCCATGGCTCCGAGCGCCAACAATCATCCCACGTTCAAAGACTGTTAAATCGCGTTGTTTCCCCGTATCTTCAGAAACAAATCACTTCTACTGTCGTGGTAAACAACCTGCTTCCCTATTTATAATGGTCTGGCCCTCTAGCAACTTCAGCGCAAAATTATAGCTAATTTGCCTACAAACGTCAGGTGGTCATAATAATCTGGCCACTCAGTGTATATTGTTAATATTATTACAATCTGACTTACACATTACTACTCATAAAAAAATATTAATAGTATTTTTACTTTTTTAGTAATAATAATAAATCTTCAGATCCTGCATATGTCCAGGTGTGACTGGTTCTCTTTAAGGCCTCATTCAGACGGGGCGTACACGTGTGTGCGGCGTACACGCCCGTAGTTGGGCTGATCCCAGGAAGGAGAGGTGCTGCGTGTGATTGCGTGTAGCAGCCTGTTCTTCCCTATGGGAGGACGCGGCCGTACGCCGTCATACGCACACCCGGACTTGCACATCCGTGTGGGTCCACGTGTCTGCACTTGGACGCACTCTGACGTTTACGCCGCGTCTGAATGAGGCCTTAGACGCTCTTGCAGTAGAGAAGCTCGGCGATCCCAGAACTGAAGACATCAGACACATTGTAGACGTATGATACATATATGTTGTACACACGATTATTCCACTATGATGTCACATTATAATGTATCAGAGGGCCGGCAAAGGCCTCGGGGTGCCCCGAGGGCTCGTACACACCATGTCCAGACCAGATCTGGAAACGCGGCGCAGTGCGGTTTTGACTTGTCCCAGTGCATTTTTTTAGCTTAAAATGGGCTTTTGGGTGTATTCCGGTGCGTTTGCATGCGTATTTTATGCATTTACATACATTCTGGTGGGTCCCAGACCAGAAGAAATAGCGCATACGCCATTTTATTTTCCCCGGCACCGGAAATGCTGTGAACATAGCTCAAAAATCCCCACGGAAAAGGAAACGATCCATGACACGGTGTGAACAAGCCCTGAAACATAACATTCCATCACCCCAATGATCAAGACAGACTGAGGACATTTAGAAAATAAACATATGATGTCATAACAGAGAGAATAATGATGTCACATGGTGGCAGAAAACACATGATCACATAACAGACGGGGTGACATCACAGCAGAGGGTACTTAGCGATGGGGATGTCATACCAGAGACGGCAGATGATGTCATGAAGATAAAAGGGAAGGAGTAACAATCCGAAAAGATGACATCATAAAGACAGGATTATAATGACATGACATCATGACATGGGATGGAGATGGGACCGTATGAGGTCATATCAGAGAACTGATCAAACACCTAGTATGAGGCTGTCACTGATCATGTCATTGGATCATAATAAAGAACAGGTGATGTCATCAGTGACAGCATGACGTCAGTACAGAGGTGAATGTAGGGATGAAATGATGTCATATTAGATCTGATCTGTCATAATGGGAACAGATTAAATCATTCAACAGCACAGGAGGCAGGATGACGTCATGACACCCGTCAGGTGCATGCAGCTTTTACCCTTGCACAGTGACCCCACCTGGCCCACACACCCCGGGTGCAGGATGGTCCCGGTCACGGTGTTTGACTTCCTGCTATCACCTGAGCACGGTGCTGGGTGTCGTCACTTCACGCACATGGGAACCCGGCGCCGTGACGTCACGCCGTGAAGGATAATGACAGCGCAGGGTGGGGGGAGGAGGAGCGTTCAATCACCGGAGAAGAAGAGCCAGGTCCACCGGTGCCAGGAAGAGCCTGTGGGTTCCGTCCTTAGGTGGGACAACAGTGTGCGAGCCCTTCAACCAATCAGAATCAACGCCATCACCCCCTCCGCCAATAGCGGGCCGGAAATTGTTGTGCCGCCCACTACATCTCGGTTGTTAATATGTAATGGGAGGGGGGTAAGCGTTTTCTCCAATGAGCGGTGCTGACGGCCTTGGTTGACTGGAGAGTTCACCAATCAGCTGCGGTCAAGGGGCCTTTCCAATAGTAGGCGTGGAGAATCTCTTCCGTTGGTCATTGGGCCGTAAGGGAGAGTCATCTTTCGATAAATAGACCGCAATGCATTGCGATTGGCGCTTGCGCAGTATTCCATTTGCGGAGCATTGTGGGAATGGTAGTCCCTTCTCAGATGTGTCTGTCACGTGACTAATATTGCTGGCGTTTAATAGTGCTTAGGTTTGTCCCAGTTTCCCATAGCAACGAGGCACTCAGGTGGCAATTTTTACGACACATGGCAGTGATCTGTAGCTGCGGGCCGGTGGATTCGTCTTCCAGCCCGCTAAAGTTAAAGGAACATTCGGATTCGGAGTTTGGGATGCATCCGAACGTCGGAATTAAGCGGAATTCGTATGAGTGTCCGTTTGGAACGAAACGAATAATAATAAAAAAAAAAAGTTACTGTAGATAAAATACATATTCTATACTATAATTTCTCCTGTTTATAATCATTTAGAGATGAAAAATTATGTTTGTGCTACAAAAGTATTGCAAAGCGATTTACAAAATAAATAAAGTTGCTTTTTTTTTCAATTTTGTGCATTTAAAAAAAAAGAAAAACTCCAGGAAAAAATGTTCTTAACCCTTGCAGAGGGGCTACCCCAACAATGCAAGGGTTAACTGCTCGTTTAGGTGCTAAAAACAAGTTATACTCACCCAAACTGCCGAGCCGACTCCCTGCTACTCCAGTCACTGAGGCCTTGTTCATGCCGAAAGCAGTGTGGAAGCGGTACCATTGAATTCAATGCACCAAAACGCTCCCTCCTGCCCCAGAATACAGGGGGAAGATTGCCGCTACCGCTCTGGAACACACTGCTTTCGTTGTGAGCAAGCCCTGGAGAGTGTCTCCTCCTCCGCTGCACAGATGAATGAAAGCCTTCTATAGAATGTGATGATCCCAGGATTCTTAGGCTGGGCACACACCTTACAACTATCACAAGACTTTTGTCTTGCGATGGTTGTAAGGTACTTAAAAAAAACGTACGATCGGCCTATCTTGCATAGGCAGATCGTACTTGCGATGATCGCAAGCCACGACCCCTGAGGGGCGGGCTTCCGATGACCGCAATGCCGAACGGGCAGTGTGCGCTTGCGCACACCGGCCCGTACGGCTGTTATCGTACCGACATGCCACAAACCCGCCGAACATCGTACGATGCTCGGCGGGTTTTCGAACATGTCCGTAAGTTCAAAGTCGTGCGACCTTACAGTAGTAGAGTAGGATTTCCCGCGATTATTGTACGATTATCGTCAGGTGTGTGGGGACCTTTAGAACGCTGCAGAGGGGGAGAGAGGCCCCGGGAACCGGTCTAAGAGCCAGCCGACTTGAATGTTCTGGTGAGTATAACTTTCTTACTATATCTTTTTTAGCACCGAGGCAAAAAACAAGCACTCAACCTTTGCAGTGCCGGTGTCGCCCTGCTGCAAGGGTTAATGAACTTTGCCCCTGGAGTTCTTCTTTAATGCAACACTTAACAAAATAACCAAAAGTAGTCAGTTAGGGCTGATTTGGGTTCACGAAGGGTTAATAAAACGGGAACAAATTTTGTTTTGATTTAAAGAGGAACTCCAGAATTTAAAAAAATTGCAGTGGGTCTAGCCCAGAGTCCCTGGTTGCTAGGACACCGACGGTCTGCATCCTAGTAAACAATAAATGCAGCCCACAGCACCCTAGCAACCAGTGACACTGGGCCAAAAACGACAGTGGCCGGAGCCTAATGGGGATGCACAGAAACTAGTTCCCCATTAGGTCCATCTACCTTGCGATTAACTGCAGGTGGATTCCCCAGCCGCTAGCAACCTTGTCAATCACAAGGGAGGCAGACCTAATGGGGAACTAATGTCTCAGCATCCCCATCAGGCTCTGACCACTGTTGTTTTCAGTCTAGCATCACTTGTTGCTAGTAATGTTATTCAATGGAGCTGTCTTAACTCCATGTCGCTCGTCGCGGTCGCAAGTCGCTTCTACCGGACCCTTTTTTCGGCGGATTTTGCGCGATTTTACTTTTTTTCTATGGAGCCCGACGGGGAAGGTCGCGCTACCGTCGCTGGATCGTCGCTGGAACGTCGCCCCGAAAGTCGCGCTATCCCGGCCGTGCGGATCCGCTGCAAAAGGTATGTCGCTATATGTGAACGGGGCCTTAGAGTTGGTCTTCATTACCTCCAGTTTCGTTATCTACAAACTGGCCCTCCAGCTGTTGTGGAAGTACAAGTCCCATGAGGACTTTGATATCGTCAGGCATGACTCCCAGAGGCAAAGGCATGAAGGGATTTGTAGTTTCATACAGCTGGAGTGCCAAGGTTGCCTTAGCCCTGCCTTAGGCATACATGCTATAGCAAGCAAACACCTGGCCTTCAAGAACCTCCCACCTCTCTATGGGATACCCCCCGTGCGGAGGACATCGGATAACTTGGCGCACACACACAAAATAACAAAAAACACAAATAAATAATATAAATAAGACAATTTATTTAGCACATAATAATAATTACAGAGCATCCCGTGCACCGTTCAAACACGCCGTTCTATAAAAATCTCTAATTCCTGAGGTAAATTATACAGATTCTCCCGTGTCAGCAGAAAAGTGCACCTGTCACCTGCTCACACAGCCAGCGGCCATCTTGTAAGCTAAAAGGAGGGAGCCATTTTGCAGCCATCTTTTTTTTTGTCAGTCGTTCTTACGGAACTTATGATGTGGTTTAGTCCACGTGCGAGCTTGACCAATAAGGCAGCGAGATACGTAACATAACGCGTACAGCAATAATGTTGTGCAGAGAGCTGTCAGGAGGCAACAGGTCCGCTTCAGAGGAACATCTTCCCCAAGGCTTTGCTTATTTGCGCCTGCGCAATCTTCTCCTTCTCACGCACGCTCGCCAACTCCCTCTTGGCCTCCTTGTTACCCGGATCCAGTTTCAGCAGTTTGTCAAAGTCACCCCTCGCCCCCTCCCAGTCCGACATGCCTGCCCTGGCTACCCCTCTCCGGTACAGAGCTTTGAAGTGGTTTGGGTCCATGTCCAGAATTCGGGTGCACCTCACCTCCGCCTCTCGAAAACGCCTCTTCTTGAGGTCGCAAGCGGCCAGGTTGGACAGGAGGGCCACTTTCTCCTCTTCGGCCTCGCCGGGGGTGCACACCAGAAGCCTGAGCCCCCGGGAATACCGCCTCTCGGCCCCTTCGATGTTGCCATTCCGGAATGCTGCACCGCCCTTTTCGCGGTCTTTTATGGCTCTTTGGATCTTCTCACTGGGTTCCAGCTCCCAGGCCTCCGTGCCCCCTTCAAAGCTTTTCAAACGCAAGACAAGTTGGAATCCTATTGGGCAGTCCAGCTGACAGACCTCCCCCTGAAGCATGGTTTCTAGACATTGGTCAACCAGGCGGTCCTGCGCGGTATCGCCCTCCCCGAGCTCCACTTCAATCCAGCTTCCAGCGGAATACCCGGGCCCGGATGATAAGCAGAACTCAGGCGGGGGGTCAGCAAGGTGCTCCAGAAGCGTCACGCACGTGGCATGCTCCTTGGGCTTGTCCACTCCGGATCCTGGCTCTAGGATGGTTTTCGTGAAGCTTCCATCTGGGCAGCGCCATGTTGCACAGCCTGGTGAGGCCTGTGGGCTCTCCATTGCTGGTTAGCGCTCCGGATGAAAACAAGCCAGTTTTTTTTCTGTACAAATAGAAAATACAATTAAATCTATATTTAATCAATATTTGATTATTCACCAAAAATACATCACCACATCCTCCTCCTCTAGCTGCATCCCCTGTATACCAAATAGCCATTACATGCAATGGGGGGGATTTATCAAAACTCGAGCAGATAGAATCTGGAGCCATTGCCCATTGCAACCAATGCTGCATTAGATACAGTTTTATAAGGATCTGCATCGGTATTGTATGCTATGGGTCCAATCACACAGCTGCGTTTAATTCCTCATTAAGATTGAATTGCGGAAAACTAAACTAGAAAATGTTGTTGCGTCTGCAGATCGATTTTGACCGTATTTTATGCGGTACACGTCGTGTAAACATTTGTGCAAACGCTTACATGTGTAACAAGTATATGAACATGGCCATATGCACCTCCGCTGCCTTGTAATTCAGGGCCAGGGGGAGATGCAGGGCCGGATTTCCCACAAGGCCAACCGAGGCCTGGCCTCAGAGCAGCAGGGAGTAGAGGGGCGGCAGGGATGTAGAATTCCTATCTCCCGACACCCGGGACATGCATTTGCGGGCGCCGGGCGGGTAGTTGTTTTCTACATTTAGCCCTGCCTTAGGCAAGTGGAACTAAATGTACAGCGGGGGAAGCCGCAAACTTGTTTTGTACAAGTGATCTCGGCATTGTCTCAGAGATCACTTGTATGCTGCCTGCATACAGGGGGGGCGCATTGAGGAACCTGGCATTGACGCGCAGAAAGAGTAAATCCGGCCCTGGGGAGATGTAAACATAAACAATGTTTCGTACAGAAGCGTCACCTGCACGCCTTACAGCATCTAGACGGGGGTCGAATGACGATTTGACAGGGGTCACCTAGCGGCTCCCGGCCGCCCATCGGCTCCCGGCCGCCCGGGAGAGAAACACTTCCTCCCCGGAAAGGTTTACTCTGCTCGATGCCTCGATCGAGCAGAGTAAACTTTTCTCTGCTCCGTTTTTTTTTTCCTGACATCTGGGCCGCGGGCCGCCGTAAGTCAGAAAAAAAAAAACACCATAGGAATGCATAGCTAGATTCCTAATGGCGATTTCACTTTGCAATAGCCAATTGCAAACTAGCTATTGCACCCGCCCTCTGCTGCTGCCAATCAGCAGAGGGGGACCTGAAGTTCTCCATCAGGTCCCCTTCTAGTGACCAGATACCCAATCTAAGAAGGCTACTCTTGGTATATGACACATGTGACGCTGTTTTTCACATAAATGAACACTAAAGATTTGAGCGACATTTCCTGAGTGCCGGTGATCATTCATTTTCTTGTAAACTCAAACAATGTGTAGGCCGCAGCAACTGCAAAGTTGGTGAAGAGATAACCCTATCCCCCCCTTTCCCCCAATTAAGTCGTTTTCCATTGGTAAATTCCCACTGCACCTTTTCTTTAAGGGCTCATTCAGGACAAGTGTGGGCACCCGGACATGCAGGTTCGGGTCAGCGTGTAGCCACGTCCTCCCATAGGGAGGTAAAGATAGAAGTCACCAGTACTCACTTGTAATGTGCAAAAAGGATAACACTTTTATTGATATGTCACATGCGTCAATAAGCCAATGTTTCGGGGGCCACGCAGAGTCCCTTCATCAGGGCGATTCATGTCATGTGCTATCCTTTTTCCGCTTTACAGTGAGTGCTGGTGACTTCTATCTTTAGTTGGACTGTAGCACGGCGCCATCCGTGTCGTCACTTTTGAGCACCAACGGACATTTTGTTTGGTTCAAGCGCTGTATGGTGTACAGGCTCTAACCTCATAGGGAGGTACACGTAGCTGGAAGCAATTACACATACCACCTGTCACTCCTGGGAACAGGTCTCTGCACAGGCGTGCACGCTGTATGGATGCGCATGCCTGTGTGAATGAGCCCAACTTGGCTGGGCTCTGTGCCACCCAAGCACGTATGTACGCGTTCATTCCAATATATGGATCTGTACTTGTACCCAGGGGCGTCCCGAGCCCGGGTGTCACCCGGTCTCTAGACCGGGTGACCCCCCGCCGTGTCGTCATTGCGCGTGACATCACCACGTACGTGCGCAATTACATCATCGTGCATGCGTGACCATCTGTTGGACGGCTGCCGGTGGCCACCTTGGTGATGGACGCCGGCAGAGAGAGGAGGGGACGTTCACCCAGCGGGATGAGGTATGCCGCCGGGTCCCCTCCTCTCTCCTGACACTGTCGGGCTCTCGGCCCATGACCAAGTGCCCTTCTTTTTAGAGGGGGTGACACCTAAATAACTGTCGGTCATTTTGGTGTCACCCTTGCAATGGTGTCACCTGGGTGCGGGCCGCACCCTCCACGTGATGTAGAGCCAACCAGAGAAATATAAACTACATTTTAAGGATTAAAGGGATCAGTGAATGGGAAGAATGCAAGACCCAGCTACCTTCAGCCCCATAAAAGAAGATCCAGAGCTCTGTACAGACCTGGGACTGGGGTTTAAACAATGCAGGAGCCTGTGCACTCTACTCGCTATGCACTGATCGGGGTTGCAATGCTCTGCAGGCTTCAATGCAAACATTTAATAAACGCACATTTGTATTTGATTAATTTGGGTGCATTTATTACATTTTTGTAAAAGGTGGACTGAGCCTTTGAATCGAACCTGTTGCACCCCAAAAGTTATAAGAAGGAGGGGACTCAGCCCAGCAAGTTTCACCTGTAGCAAATAGATCAGCTTTGGATGGACTGACCCTTTAAGCATCATGCAGCTGGTAGAGCAAAAAAAATAAACCCAGCAGGCATGGCCAGTATATAAATGTTGCAGTTGAATAATAAGCGCAACATCTGCATGTGAACAGATCCAGTACCAGATCGGGGTACAATAAATGGGTATACTGGCATTTGTCTTACAGCAGCTGCAAAATCTGTGCATTATATCCATAGTCAGGGTCACCGGGGATACAATGCCCACCATGCACTGCCACAGCATGCACCACATCACAGTAAGAGTACAAGGCAGGTGCATGCTGGGACTTGTAGTTGTCCAGATTTAAGCTCATGCATCTACAACACTCAGCATGCCCTGCACAGAACTTAAAACAGGATACACAGGCAGCAGCTTCATACTGATCAATGCTGAATAACAGATTCTCTGCACTGCTGCATACTGACTCATGATCATGCAGCTAGAAGGCTACCATCCAGCATTGCACAGGCATGATCACATCAACGAGAAAGCCTGACACCAAATGCATGCTGGGAATTGTAGTTTTCTCGCAACGCCCTGCAGGACTATAATGCTCAGCATGCTCCCCCAATTGCAGGAGCAGAGATAGGTATGCTGGGAACTGTAGTCCCATGGCAGCAGCTACAGTTGCAGGACTACAGAGCTCAGCATGGCATGCTATGCCAGAGGCCAGGGAGGAGGGATGACAGCTCTGCTCACCTTGCTGCTGGCTGGGCTGTGACTTCACCAGGAAGTGCAGGAAGATGAGTAGGCAGAGAGGAGGAGGGAGCCTCACTTCCCATCATGCTGTGCGGGTCCCCCTCCCTCCTGCACTGCAGACTGGAGTAAACAGCAGCAGCTGGGAGTGGTGAAAACTATTGCCAGGGACTGAGATCTGCACACAGGATTTCCATTGACAGGTGCCAGGGACTAAACTCATGATGGTATGAGTGATCATTTATGGTAAGTGGTACCTGCATGCAAGGGGAATGGGCACAGTGCTGCAAGGGTTAACCCCTTCATCTCCTGCATCCCCCCATTGGACCAGAGCAACCTATAGATCTCTGCTGCAGGCTTCTTGTTACATCTTGTTTTATTTATTGTTACTGCTACTTACTTGTTACTTTTGTGTGTGCGGTATATTATGTATACTTTGTTCATGTCACATTGTGTAAGGTTCCATGTGTGTGCGGTATATTATATATACTTTGCTCATGTCACATTGTGTAAGGTTCCATGTGTGTGCGGTATATTATATATACTTTGCTCATGTCACAATGTGTAAGGTTCCATGTGTGTGTGTGCGGTATATTATGTATACTTTGTTAATGTCACATTGTGTAAGGTTCCATGTGTGTGTGCGGTATATTATATATACTTTGCTCATGTCACATTGTGTAAGGTTCCATGTGTGTGTGCGGTATATTATGTATACTTTGTAGGGTTCCATGCTTTCCTGTGTATATAATAACCTTTATCTCAAATACAAGTCAAATTTATAAAAGAAAAAGAAAACAAAAAGATGTAACAAAATGATCTTTTATTCTAGTTTTAGTTTTAAAAACATCTACAGGGTTATTCACTGAAGGGTGACGAGTGTGGAGAAGGGAGGAGAAGGGTGAAGAGTGTGGAGAAGGGAGGAGAAGGGTGAAGAGTGTGGAGAAGGGAGGAGAAGAGAACAATCTAGGACAACATAGACAAATTCCCCAATGCAGAACTCTTTCCAGTCTAGCTATGTTGTCCTAGATTGGTCACATCTCCTGCCTTCTCCACACTCTTCACACTTCAGTGAATAGCCCGGCTAGTGTTACTGTAGTTACACAAGGCAGGATGTATCATGTGATCGCTCCCGTGTCTGTTACAAAACATGGCAAAGATATTTATAAATAGAGTTTTAATTGTATAATGTGTTTTTTGTTTTTATTTAATGCAATGCTACAAAAATGAGCAAACAAACCGAACAAAAACAAAAATGTTCACATATGAATGGTTGAATAATCAGCTAAAAAATAATGCCTGAGGGCTAGTTCACACCAGCCACAGTACGTTCCGGCCTGATTAGGGCAGCAACGCACTGGATCGCGTTCCAGCCGGCTCACTTTGTTTTGGAGCGGGAGTGGCGCGGCGGTGCATTGAAGTCAATAGCACCGCAGCCGCGCCCCCCTGCCGCAATGCGATTGCCTGCACCCGAACACGTGGCACATTAGGGCCTGAGATCCGGTCTGGTGCAGTCAGAACAAATAGTGCTTGCAGCATTTTTTTTTCTGCCTGCACCAGGCCAGAACCGGGCAATCGCATTGCGGCCGGAGGGCGTGGCTGCGGTGTCATTGACTTCAATGCACCGCCACGCCCCCTTCCATCCAAAACAAAGTGAGCCGGCCGAAATGCGATCCATTGTTTTACAGCCCCAATGGGGCCGGAACGCACTGTGGCTGGTGTGAACTAGCCCTGAAGCTGGCCATACATTGCCGAAAATGCGTGAAGTGTGTGACCCCATTGGTGCCCCTCCATACAACAAACATCCATTTTTCATTCGACTTTTGTCTAAGATGCTGGCACAAGCTGAGCTAAACACCGTTTGGGTATTGTGGCTAGTGATGGGCCTGGGATGGTGTAAACCCAGATTGGGCAAACTGGGTTCACACCGAGCCCAGGCCCATCCCTAATTCTGACAGGGGTACTCCCACCGCTGTGAGAAGATAATAGCCCGGCGGGGTGGGGGACTCCCCTGTCTATGGGGTGGGGGGATCCATATCTATACTGTTTAACATCAATGACGAGCTTAAGTCTACATTCACACTTGAGCGTTGGCGTCTGTGGTCATTTTTGCACACATTTTTTTGCGTCTTTCATTAGCTTTTTTTTTTATTTTAGCCAATAGAGAGCTAGCTACTAGGAGGAGGAGATGGTAGTTAGACACAAAATCGCACGAGAGCCTGTTTTTCAGGAGTTCCCATTGGCGTCTGTTGGGGCCAAAAATGCCGATCTTTACCTAAAGAAGCTCCTATACTTTTTTCTGAGCATTGGGCGACATCCCGTTGCTTAGATGGGAGACAATCCGATAACAGAAATCCGAGTGTCAAGCATTGAATCACTTCTGAAAACAATGCTCGACCCCCGGCGTACTGGAGCATTGGAAGTCATTAGTAATGTAAATAATAATTAACATAATAATAACAATAATAATATTTACTAATATGTTTAATAAAACACTCCTCCATTGTTATTTTTTTCTAGCGTGCCGCTATGTGGCACGGAAAATAGCAGCTTCCAGACGTGGTGACAGCGAGGAGGACACGGTCATGGCCAATGGATCTGCAAGACCTTCGTGCATGCTGCGCCAAGGTACGTCATCACAAATGTCTGTTTGTGAATAACAACTTTTTTGTATTGGATGGCAATGTGCCATTAAAATGGATCATTGACTAACAAAAACTGGTGTGCTGGTGACATTGTTCCTTTATTCTAACAACTTTTATAAACGCCCCTCACTTGTATAACCTGTTTAGAAGTTTCAGGACACAAAGCATGGCTGGAATCATGTGATGGGTTATGCAAGTTTTGGGTTACACAATTCTGACTTCAAAAGGGACAACATGTGATATGGAGACTCCAGACGAAAACGTCCATTTTGCTTGGGTTAGAGCGGGGAAGGGTTTGAACCCCATGTCATGTTTTTTTATTACTACCGTTCCCATAAGCCACCTGCACTCCTTACGGTCCTACAACCTTGCGATAACAGTGGTGCTTGTGGTGATCACACGGATGGCGCCGTGCAGAACTCCAAAAAATAGTATGAATTTTATTACTGTCTGTATCCCTACTGGGGAAAGTTCTCCTCACTTCCTGTCAGGGCGTACAATGTTTTAATTGTTGTCCATTCCCACCTTGGTGACACTCACTACCTCCATTTCTTATGCTGGTGTCGCAGGGACAGGAAGTGAGCTAAAAGTACATAAAATGACTTGTTGGTCAGGTTTATAGAAAATATATTTCCTATGCAGGGGCGTAACTATAAATCACAGGGTCCCATAGCAAAATGTTATATGGGGCCCTGTGATTTCTAGTTACGTCCCTTGCAGAGCCCACCTGAGATCCCAAACAGCTCACCTGGGAGTGACCCTGCACAGCCCACCGTAGACTGTATAGTGGGCTGTGCAGGGTCTCAGGTGGGCTGGTCAAACCCCTGCACACCTCTTACCCATCAGCCCCGATCCGCTGCCAGCCTTCTCCTCCTGCACAGGGCCCTGCCTCCTCTTCCATCGCCGGGCCTTGTCTCCTCTTCCATTGCCGGGCCCCTCCTCCTCTGACGTCACCAGCCCCACCTACTCTTGCGTCGCCGACGCCAGGCCCAGCATCCTCCTTCGTAGCTGCTGGATGTCACTGACACAGCAGCGGCTGTGAGGAGGAACGTGCCACTGCAAAGATCACTGACAGGTTGTCAGAGATCTAACAGCGACACATTCCTCCTCACACCCGCCAGTGACAGCCAGCAGCCTGACATTCCATAGCGACCCAGGCAGCCCGCACGGCATCATGGGGAATGTCCTGGCTGGGCCCCCCTGTGCCCCGGGCCCCATAGTGGCCGCCTGGGTTGCTATGGCGATTGTTACGCCACTGTTCCTATGAATAATGTATTCCCAATAACAGCCATCAGGTGAAGCTCTAAGCTTCCAGGCAATCCTTATCTGCTTTTTATCCGTTTACAAAGCTCAATAGCTGCAGCTGAAATGTACACACAAAGCTGAATGAGTCAGAGAAGTGACTTCTCCCCCTCACTGCCCTGCTCTGCTCATTCACATCCCTACAGGATGCACGTCTGTGCAGAGACCTGCACCTGGGATGGACAGATTCTGTGTAATAATTAGGAGGAGGAGGATGCAGTTACACGCAGACCTGAACCTGCACATTGGTGTCCCACTTGGACGCAGACAGTGTGCATCCAAGTGCGGGCACCCAGACCTGCACGGATGTCATGGTTCGGGTCTGTGTGTACCTGCATCCTCCTATAGGGAGGTACAGGCTGCTGCATGTAATTACACACAGTATCTGTCCCTCCCAGGAGCAGGTCCCTGCAGAGGTGTGCACACCGTATGGATGCGCATGCCCATGTGAATGAGCCCTTCACTGGAAACTGAAGAGCCATGTTCCTTTGTTAATTCTGCCGGTGCTAGCGTCAAAATAACCCAAAAGCGACTGCCATTTCCCTAATGGAATGCTCAATGAAACTGCTAGATCATAAGCGAGGGAGCAGCTACGGAGTGGCACCACTGCAGCAACTGTGATAAGTTTGAGTCATTCTGTTGCTGGCAATTTGTTATCCGCAACAGAATTACTAGTGAGACGTAGGTAGGCCTAAGGAGGTTCAGCGAGAGAGAGAGAGACTGAAAGCAAACAGCTGCTGGGCTCCTTCTCATTAGGAAACCCTTAGTGGTCTGGGATTCAAGTAGGGATGCCCAAATGCTCCGATACCTTCCCCGATACCGGAACTTCCAGTCAGAGGAAAATGTTCTGTGACCGGCAGTGCCATAAGGGAACATGGAGACAGCTTCCTGTGCGATCAGGAAGCTGGACAGCGAGTAATGACCCGCCTACTGGCTTTCGGATTGGCTTGGAAACCGGCTTCCCGGCCAATCAGCATGGAGCCGGGTAAACAGCTCGATGCTGATTGGCTGGGAAGCGGCTTTCCAGCCAATTCAGTATGGAGCTGGTCTCCTGGCCAAGCCGGGAGACGGGTCATTACTCGCTGCCCGATTCCCTGAGTGGCCTGGAATCCGGCTCGATGCTGATTGGCTGAGAAGCTGGTTTCCCGGCCAATCACAATCAAGCCGGCCAAACAAACATGGAGCCAGCAGAATATCGGTACTCGTACACGATACCGAAAAACCGGTATCAGTGCATCCCTAATATACAGTATCACTTTACACAACACGTACGCTTATAAAATATTACCATGCAATCACTACCCAGATTTGGGTTTATTAAAGAAGGACTCCAGGCATTTAAAAATGAACCCTTCCAGTGGGGCTACCCTCGCATGGCAAGAATTAAGTTCTCTTATTGATCTAGGGGTCACAATAAAGAAGATACACTCCCTTGGTTCCACGGCGGTGACTGCTCCCCTCTCGTCTCCTACGCTATTAGAACTTTAAATAGGCTTTAGATATGTTTTAAGATGCAAATAGTGCTTACTAGAGTTCTGTGGGATCCGCTTCAGCTGCGACGTCTCGGTATACTGCGAGCTGTAGCTCCCTATATACTGAGCGTAGGGTGACAGGAGGACGCTAGTTTGTGTCTTCCCGTTACCCTAAGGAGAACTATGGGGAAAAGTCTCCTTTTAATTTGTGAGCTTTTGAAGTATATTTATTATGTTTCCTTAGCTGTGCCGAGATGCTGGAATTGAATATTCTTTATGCAGCCTCTAGGTGGCAGTGCAGGACACATGTTATATCATTGTGACAAATTGCATAACTTGCAGCAGTGATAAAATTGCGCACACGCACGCACGCACACACGCACACTTTCACCAGGTATGTTTGCTTTAAAGTGAACCTGTGCCTGGACAATGTGCACTGAAGTATTTACATACTTCGAGCAAAAATAAAACAAGCCTGTGCTGACCTAGGTAGCTCTAGGCATTGCGGAGATGTTTGTCTTCAAAGTTCACAACAAAGGCAAATCATTTTTGTCCTTTTTTACTTTCTCATGGCTCCAGTATCTTGGAAGCTTGTCAGTTCCCTAATGTGAATATACAGCACGTGTCTGTAAGTTGTTACACTCTTGCCGCTGGCCGTACACATATATATGGCAGCATAGGGGTGGGCAGGGGCGGATTTTGCTCTCTCTGCTGCCCCCAAGGCCAGGTTCCTCAATGCACCCCCCCTACAAAACAAGCGGCAGCTTCGCCGCTGTACATTTAGCTCTGTTTGGCCAAAGCAGGGCTAAATGTAGAAAACAACTACTGGCCCGGCGCCCAGAACTACATGTCCCGGGCATCGGGAGATAGGAAGTTCACACCCTCTGCAGCTCCTTTACTTCCTGCTGCCCCGAGGCCGGGCCTTGGTTGGCCTTGTGGGAAATCCGACTCTAGGGGTGGGCTTTATCCTGTGCTGCCACATATATGCATTATATTTGGTGATAGGAGAGTGTTCAATCTCACACCCCCAACCCTAACTGCTCTGTCACCTACAGCTTCCGGGCAGATGGCAATGATCAGGAGCTGTTTGGATGGGCTCCTGATCACTGAGACAGCCAATCACAGCCATCACATGGGTAAAAAGAGAGCACTGGATAGGGGAGTTTGGCAGCCAGAGCAACTCCAGGGGACACATTTTAAAGAAAATTAGCCTGAGGGCCCATTCGCACCTTTCCAGCGTGGTGCGCTGCCACGTGTTACCACGATGCACATGATCACATGTTACATGCGTTGTGGTGTCATTCATTCTCAATATCAATCCAATGCACTGACCTCCAATCCACATGCATTGCAGCACACCACAATGCACAATAAGGCATTACCGTGCATTGCGTTACACCTCGTCAAAACAAAAGCTGCATGTCTGTTATTTGTCTCCATTCTGGTGAGTTAGCAGCCCCCTCAATTGATTGAGCTGCCCTAAGGCAACGCAGGTAAATGTATGACATTACACTTGAACATTGACACAATGCTGCGGAGCGGACAGGCCTGAATGGGCCCTTATGCTTACAGTAATCCGGTCACGAGAGGTATATCTGAGCCGCCATTTCTGTACAGAGGAGGGTGGAGATTAATATATGGGGACGATAGGTGAAATCTGTTCTTCTGTTCACACTGGGGAGTAGAGCGAGTGCTGCAGCTGTGCTATAGAAGGAGAGGACAGCCTTGTGCACAGACAGTGCCACTTACTCACAGGAATAGTCCCCAGATGGCTCTGCCGTTTCTTGGCTGCTTCAGAGGAACATTTGCTTCACCCGTTCTAGCAACAGATCATTAGGAGAAGGATGTCAATTTCCTCCTTGGTGTGTGCAGTATGGATTTGCTGCCTTCCTATATCGGAGCGCAGCGTGGCGCAAAGCAGCTTAAATGAACATTATTAAGTGATCATCAACAGGTTTGACTCCGTAAATCCGAACCTCAGCCAAAAATAAAAAGGAATGTCCCATTACAACATAAAATGTCATATTCTTTTTTTAATTCCCTGCAGTACTTTTTTTCTGCCACCTAGATGTCCTCAGTCTCATGGCTATTGGCATTCAACTCCCTTCCTCTGTGCCTAGGTCATATTGGTTCCATACCCATCCGGTGACTGGGCAGTGAAAGGAGAAGCAGCACAGTGATGAGCTCATCTCTCTGTCACTCTGAACTCTCCTCCTATCTGCAATTGTTTGTGCACCGATTGCCTCTTTGTGCTGATTCTTCCTCACACTCCAGCCCTGCTGTACAGGGACTGCAAGAGGCTGAGACCAGGTCAGATTAAGGTATATGCAGTCAGGGGCATAACCCGAAATCACAGGGCCCCATAGCAAAATTTTGTATGGCGCCCTGTGATTTCTAGTTTCACCCCTGGCAGAGTTAACCTGGTATCCAACACAGCCCACCTGAGAGTGACCCTGCAGAACCCACCATAGACTCTCTATGGTGGGCTCTGCAGGGTCTCAGGTGGGCTGGTCACATCCCTTACCTGTCTGCCTCCTCCTGCTCCACGATCGCTGGTGGGCCCCGCCTCTGTTGATGGGCTCCGCCTCCTCTCCTCCGTTGCTGGGCCCCACCTCCTCCTCCCCTGCCGACCCAGGCCCCGCTTCCTCCAATGCCAGGTCGAGCCTCCTCCTCCGCCGCTGTTGGCTGTCACTGACTCAGCAGCGGCTGCGGAGAGGAACACATCGCTGCACAGATCACCGACAGTGATTTGAACAGCGGCGCGTTCCTCTTCACAGCCGCCAGTGAATGTCCTGGCCGGGCCCCCCCCTGTGCCCCGGGGCCCCATAGCAGCCGCCTGGGTCGCTATGGTGATTGTTACGCCACTGCATCCACTGCTTGTGTGTAAAGCAGATTTCTACCCCCTGCACTGCAAGTGTTAACTGCTCGTTTTTGTCAAGGGGACTGAATAAAGTAAAGAAACATTCATCCGATTTTCGCTCCTGCCCCAGAGACTGCTCACCTCTCTTCCCCTCCGCTACGGCTGTGGTATGTCCCTCGGCATCCTCCCATCTAATACACTGTATCTTGGGACCTTAGACCGCCAGAGCCCAGGGGAGAAGAGGCTGCAGGGTCTGGTCTAGCAGCCAGGCGTGGCCAAGGATCAGGTGAGAATATCTTCTTTATTCAGTCTCCTAGACAAAAAACAGCAGTTAACCCTTGCAGTGCTTGGGGTAGCCCCACTGCAAGGGTTCATTTGAAAAATACCCAGAAGGTGAATGTTACAATAAAACAAGGAAAAGCAATCAGGATGGTACTGTCATCCAGCAAGCATTGCAACTGTGCTAATATCAGAACACGTACTTGGATTACCTCAACCTGAATAGTCTGTGATCTGCTGCTGCTGCTACTTTAAACCAGAGCGCACCTCACAGAGTCAGCGGGAGCCGCGGGACATTCTCTCTCTCTACATCCTGTATCACCAATCACCTTTAAACTGCATTTATCCCCCAATTCAAGCTTTCCAAATGCAATGAGCGAAGGTGTGTTCAGGGGCGTCCCAAGGCTGGGTGTCACCTGGAGCGGAGACCAGGTGACACCCTGCCGTGACGTCATTGCGCATGCCCACGTGCGCGATGACGTCATCGCGCATGCGTCTTATTGACTGATTGACGCCTGCTGGCGGCCATCTTGATGATGAGAGCGGGATGAGGTATGCCGCCAGGTCCCCTCCACTCTCCTGACACTGTTGGGCTTCTGTCTGTGACCGAGTGCCCGACTTTTCATAGGGGGTGGCACCAAAATGACCATCAGTCATTTTGGTGTCACCCCTCCAATGGTGGCACCTGGGGGCCAAACCCCCCGCATCCCCCTTGTGACGCCACTGGGTGTGTTTGGGAACAGCTCTTCTGGATCAGAGGAAGGGGTCCCAGATTACTGACAAAGCAGAAGGGCTCCAGTGGTCTAAGGACCCATGACATCATCACGTCTAATGCAGGTCCGTTATACATGAGAATGCTGAAGCACGTACCACAGTCGGTTCGGAGGGGGAGAGAGGCGAGCGGTCACTGCCACAGGGCCAAGGATCAGGTGAATATATCTTCTTCATTTTTGCCACTAGACCAAAACAAGCACCTAACCCTTGCAGTGCGGGGGTAGCCCTACAAGTTGTAAGCCTGGAGTTCTTCTCTAAAGTCACATTTGATGTGACTTTCCACATTTTCTCATATACAGATTTGTGAATGCTCCATCTAGTGGCCATTATTGTATCGCTGAAGGATGCAGCCGCCGGTCCAGAGAAATAAAGAGTTTGCCTTTGCTGATGTTCTTTAGAAGATACTAATTGTCTGGCTGTTCTGATTAAATGTAATACCCTCTGAGCTACGGACCTCATGCAAGAACTGCAGATCAGAAAAGTCTGAAGTCTTACTTAGGCTGGGTTCACACCTAGGCGTATCGAATATGCGCGTTTGTCGTGACGCGCGTTTTACCGCGATTCGCGGTAAAAAAAAACGCGCGACACACGCGCGTCTCCAAGGGCTACCTGGCTGTATCCCGATGGACACGCGCGACAAAAATGCCCCAAAGAAGCTCCTGTACTTCTTTGGGCGTAGGGCGTTTTGTAGCACGTTCATACGGCCTGTAATACGCCCAGGTGGGAACCATACCCATAGGAAATAATGGGATTTCGGTGTTTGAGCGTTTTGCAGAGCGTTTGAACGAGCTACAAAATGCCCAGGTGTGAACCGGGCCTTAGGGTTAGGACCTCTCGCTTCGCATTGGCTCCGGGTCAGCGACTGAAGGTTTTGAAGCCATAGACAGCCAGGTAGCTAGATTTTCTACCAGTAAGTCAGCACTGCTGGCCTCCAGGTTTCCCTCCACACATGTTTTCTTTGAAGAAGTGTTTGCATTGCTGTAAGATGTACCTAGAAAACCAATAGCGTGTATTCACCCCGACGCACAACACACAAAGAGCGTCCAATTGTGGTGCAAGCATGAAGCGAAGGAATGCCACCTAAATTAGGACCCGGAGACTGCCAGATGACCCCGCTCGGAGCGCCGCCCACCGGAGCAGCAGTGACACGACGCTCGGCGAGGTAAGTAAGAAGAAACCTGACGCTGACTCGAGTATAAGCCGAGGGGGGCACTTTTCAGCACAAAAAATGGGCTGAAAAACTCGGCTTATACTCGAGTATGTACGGTAGTTAAATTCCCGCAGGCAGGGACAGCATGACCCGGGTGGGCAGTAGATGTAGTGCTGGGATTCGGCAAGCCAATGAGCCGCCTGTGTAATGAAGAGACGCTGGAACAGAGCCCAGCTGGTGACGTCTGCTTTTAGGACGGGCAGATTGATACATGTTGGCCAAACTCCAGGAAGGGAGGAAATGCTAAGTGGTGGTCCTTGCGATACTCCCACACGCTGTGTACCGGAGGGGGGTCCGCCTATGAGTTGAAATAAATCTTTAATATAAAATTTGAAGATAAAAATGCCCAGTACTGATAACTTATAGGCCAAACTATGTTCATCATCTTGATTAAAGGAGAATTATGAGGTGAGTGATTTTCACTCAGCCTCATAGTTCGAGCCGACGTGGGAGAATGAAACTGTCACACGTCGGCTCCATAGATCGGGAAGTGAGCTTACTTCTCGATCTATCCCTGCAGAGAGCCGTGAGTGACTGTCACTCACGGCTCCCTGCAGGGATTCCCCTGTAGTGCTCGCTCACTTCCTGATCTACTCAGCCGACCTGTGACAGTCTCATTGTCACAGGTCGGCTAGAACTATAACGATGAGTGAAAAGCACTCAACTCATAGTTCTCCTTTTAAGGGGATGTCTGCAGGGCTGGATTTCCCACCAGGCCAACCAAGGCCCGGCCTCAGGGCAGCAGGGGGTAGAGGGGCAGCAGAGGTGTGGAATTCCTATCTCCCAATGGGTGTCCGTGGGGGTGCGGGTGAGCTTATTCATACGCCGCCGGAATGGATCCTGTATGCGTCCCGGCCAGAAAACCCGCACCCCTACGGACCTGCAATTGAGGTGAGCATTGGGGGGCGTACGGCCGCGTAGCCCCATAGAGAAGGACGGGGGCTGCGTACTAATCACACGCAGCACTGTCCTTCCCGGCAGCTGCTTGGTACGGCCCCGCACGGAGATGTACGTGCAGGGCGATTCGTGTGTGAATGGGGCCTAAAGGTTAAAGGACAATCTACGTATATGCAAATGTTCGTATTATAACAGGTCCACTTGTTACAATGACTTTGCAGAAGATGTTGTTGGAACAGTGTCCTTGGAAGGCCTTGGGCTGCAGTCAGTCAGCTTCCTAATAATGTACAGCGAGGCATTTCAGGCTATAAGTTGCGAGTTCAGCTAAGAAAGTGCTTTATAAGAACAGAAATAAATGTTTCTTGTAATTCTTGTACATGTTATCCGTGTGGTTTGTACTAATTCTTGATGAGTTCTTGTTTTAGGGAGGTCCCGCATGGCATGATCCTAAAAAGCTTGTGTCCTTCTGAAGAAGCTAGGTTATGGCAACCAAATGCCAGACCTCCACAGGCCATTCCAATATAATTTCCTAATCTCTCTACTTTTGTAACTCTTCTCTGCCAAACAAACTTTGAAAACCATTTTATCATGCGCAGAAGTAGCTTTTCCTTATAATTTTATTAGCAACAGCTTTTGAGGTCTCCCAACTTCCTCTTGGTCAGAGGAGTACACCTTGGATCTAAAAGGAGAGAGAAGACCTCCTAAGGCTTGCTCTAAAAAGCGAAATGTTAGTACAAATATACACGGGCATCCCGAGGCCGGGTGTCAACCGGAGCGGAGACCGGGTGACACCCCGCCGTGACGTCATCGCGCATGCGCGGTCATCTAATTGACGCTTGCCCGTGGCCATCTTCGAGAGAGGAGGGGACGTTCACCCAGCGGGATGAGGTATGCCGCCGGTTCCCCTCCTCTCTCCTGACACTGTCGGGCTCTCGGTCCATGACCGAGTGCTCGACATTTTATAGGGGGTGACACCAAAATGAACGTTAGTCATTTTGTTGTCACCCCTCCACTGGCGTTACCAAGGTGCGGGCCGCACCCCCCTTGTGACGCCACTGCAAATATAAAAGCTGCATCTATGGTACTTCTGTGTGCAGTACAACTGAGCTGCTCTCTATATAATTGCATATTCAATGGATAATAATTATTTTATTTTTATTTTAGGGAAAAAGAAAGATAGTGCACTGCCACCTACTCTTTCCACCCCACTGACGTCCGACACACAAGGAGAACTTCCCTGCTCCCCCACATCCACGTCACGTGATCCGGTGCCGTATTAATATCGCCAGTAAAGAAAAAGGCCGGCAGTCAAGATAAAGGCATCATGACCGTCAAGATAAATGGATCCTGACCGCCTCGTTCCTCCAGTCTGAGAATGCCCAGCAGAAGAATGATCTTCCTTCTAGAAGCCTCTGAACACAGGGGATGGGAGGGGGTGAGACAAGGCCACTGCTGTGTTTCTGAATAAAGACGCGTGGAATGATTTCTGTGCGGAAGTGTGTCATTATATGCATTCTGCAGCATAACGCGAGTACACGGCGCAGGTTTGATGGGGTTGTGACCGTGTCATTACAATAATAAAAAAAGGTATTTCCAGGTATCTGAAAAAAGGCCTCTTCTCCCCCCAGACTCCGGAGGTCTAAGTACCGCTGACCTCCTCACTTCCAGTACAAGTTCATTGACTTGCATTGGCCGTGAGGGCACCAATGCAAATTCCACAGCCGGATTGGAGAGGGAGAAGAGGCCGCAGGGGCTGGTGTAGCACCCAAGCAAAACCGAGGATTGGGTGAGTATAGATTTGAAGATTTTCCAACCAGCTCCTTCGATTGAGGGATGCTGGCCGAAAGGGTGGCGACAGCGGCGCCCACTGTGCGAATTTCAGCGGGTTCTTGATGAAATTCGTATAGTGTATGGGCAGCTTAAGGCTGCTACCAAGTCTATCAGATAGGCAGCCCAACAACCAACTGAAGGCGGTCGTGCGGCAGGCTGACAAGACTGTTGCTAGTGCAAGTGGCTTGGCGTTATCAGCCTTCAACAGGAAGTGATCTCACTGATTCTCATGGTAAAAAAACGTTGTAACATATTCATATTAAGACCTGATTCCAAAAACTGACTTATGGTTTAAAAAAAATTGATAATTGAACATAAATTGTCATCGTTTTTCTTTCATCTTATACTACAAAGTGATCTAACATTTCCTAATTCCACAAGGCTAAAAACAGTGTATTTGGTGGTTGATAGCTGCCCTCTCTGCTCACATGACAGGGGAGCGCACTCTCTACTCATTCCTATATCAAGCTGATGTCGTCCAACAAAAATAGAAAGTAGTAAGTCCCTCCGCACTCCTCACAGCGCTCCCGGCCCAAGTACTTGAAGTGGTGCTCGCACTGACAATCACGGATGGCACCGTGCAACAAACAGTGGAAAGCAGAAATCACCAGCACAGGGTAAATATCTTTGATGTCCATTTAATCGGACCAATTGTCATGTACAAAATAGGCTTTTTTGTACATGACAATTGACGATTGGTCCGATTAAATCGGTGGTTCTCAACCTTTCTAGGGCTGGGACCCCTTGGTAACATTTGCCAGGTTGGGATGACCCCCAATGGTAAAATTTACTAATGCACCAATACTAGTATCTGTGTGGGCTCTCAGGTGGCCAGTGTGGGCTCATGTTGGCTCAATGGGTCTCTCTCGCGGTCAATGGCGCTCTCTGGTGGCCAGTGTGGGCTCTGTGTTGGTCATTGCGAGCTCTGTGGTGGCCATTGGGGCTCTTTGGTGGTCAAGCCGGCATTCGACTCCCCTCACTCCCGCCCGCTCCCCTCTCTTTGATCCTCCTCGGCTGCCGGTGCTGCAGCGCCATCTAGTGGCGCAGGCGGAGAACTGACACTGCTGCTCTAGGAGGTGGCTGAGGAGCTTCTCACCTAGCGCAGCACAAAGCATGTGGTGACCCCCTCAACAGTGGGTTGTGACCCACTTTTGGGTCGCGACCCATAAGTTGAGAACCACTGGATTAAATGGACATCAAAGATATTTACCCTGTGCTGGTGATTTCTGTTGTCCAACAAAAATAGACACCCTGTTTTAGGGAAATCACTTTGTATGAAATAGTCCATGTGACCTCTCCTTTAAAGGCCTGAGGACACCATAAATGTTATATTTTTCCCCCCTACAGGAAGGATTTAGCTCCTGAAATCATGCTGGGGTCATTATACGTGAGCTGCCCAATTGCATAGAGCTAATGAGACACCAGTTTAGGAGATTCGGCCTGTTTTATCCCAGACGTGAAAGGGTTAAAAACGGAGGGTAATTTTCTCGTCCTCCATGTACAGCTCTGCTAAATTGAGCTCCACACTGACAGCGAGTCTATACAGTCTGTACGTTCCTGAAAATACAACTTTCAGGGAGCAGGGGGGAAAAAAAAGGGGGTTGGCATGGTAACCGCGCACTTGGTCCTATAGAGAGGGGTGGGATATTATGACAAGCGTTGTTACAATGTATCTGTGGGAACCGTATTTAACAAGGCAGTGCAGAGGGATTATGTGTGGTATCCCATAGCAACCAATCAGAAATCATTGAGAGAAATGAATGATTGCTGATTTGGTTTCTGTATCGTTCTGCAATTTGAATGATGTTCTCCATTACTGAATGAGCACAGTGGTGTGGATTCTAGACAAAGGTCTGGATGATTGGAGTTGTAGTACCGAAGAAAAGATTTCTGCAAACGGTTCAGCAAAGATGAGGAGGAGGACAGTGGTCTTTATGATTATATATGGGACTGCATGGGTCTGGGATTTGGAGCAGCCGACATCCACAGAAGATCTGTGCTTTGTTCTCCAAGATGTTTGAAACAACCTACCTGCCGAGCTCCTTCAGCGACTGTGTACAAGTGTACCCAGAAGAAGGAAATGGGGGGTCACCCCAAATATTGATTTGAATTTCTCTTCTCTTCATTTACTTTCCGTTTTGTTAATTGATAAAAATAAACTATTAACACTTTTACTCCTGAAAGCATTCTTACATTACAGCATTCTTTTCACCTGCCTAAAACTTTTGCACAATACTGTGTGTATATTTTCATATACGTACACTATATTGCCAAAAGTATTGGGACGCCGGCCTTTACACTCATATGAACGTTAATGGCATCCCAGTCTTAGTCCGTAGGGTTCAATATTGGGTTGGGCCGCCCTTTGCCGCTATAACAGATTCAACTCTCCTGGGAAGAATGTTTGACAATCTTATCACTAACAGGTGACTGCGGAATATTTAGTAGCAAGGACATTTCACAGATGGACTTATTGCACAGGTGGCGACCTATCACGGTACCGTGCTTGAATTCACTGAGCTCCTGAGAGCGACCCATTCTTCCCCAAATGTTTGTAGAAGTGTCTGCATGCCTAAGTGATTGATTGTATACACCTGTGGCCATGAAGGGGATGGACATGGACTGGTCTTGTCTCCGCCCCCTCCTGTAATAAAGACAGGTCACTGCTGCTCTCTCTCCTTGTCCAGGGTGACTGGTTTTGTCTTCGCCCCCTCCGGTAATAAAGACCGGTCACTCCTGCTCTCTCTCATTGTGCAGGGAGACTGATCTTGTCTCCGCCCCCTCCTGTAGTTGCCTGCAGGCAGCCTGTAGTGGGTGAAGTCTGCTGGGTCCCTCCCACAGCTCTTCTTTCTGCACAGGCTATATACAGTGCAGATGTCACCGCTACTTGTTACCTAATTGTTCATTAGTTATTAGGAATCTGTCCCAAGCACTGTATTTGACACATGAGAGTCTTCACTGCAAAAATACATTCCTGACGTGTCACAATATACAGCACCAGAATCATGAAAAAAAAATCTCCACCTTTATTCACTGAAAAGCAATTATTGAGCTCCAGTCAGTGACTTTGCCTTGGCTGAGGAGATATATTTAAAGAGGCGCCGGGAATATTCAATCTTGTACATGCCGTCAGATGAAAGAAAAACTTCAAACAAGCTCAGTAGCTCTGACGAGGCAGCTCCCACACAGCAAGGCTTTCCTCAATGGGTACCTGACAGTAGCTCATAACATAGAATTACAAAAAGGAGCACCAGACCAAAAACGAATGAGAGTTCAAGATCAATCTTAATTGTTGGTAAACAGGTCACATAACGAACAGCCGCATTTTGGGTGTAAAACCACTACCCCTTCATCAGGGCTCAACACAGGACTCAGAAAAAATAGTGGGAACACAGATCTCTATTAGAAGCAATATTAGGCCGAGACGCACACCATAAGCTGCGGGTGGAAGGTGCAGTACAATGCAAGTCAGGCAAGTAGCCATGTTCTTGGTATAACCACTTCCAGCGGATGAGGTACAATTTTTACGTGAACCCGCTGGAAGTGGTTAAACTCCCCTTTGCGGAATAAGCATGTAGCAGTTGAGCCCTGGTGAAGTGGTTTGGCTCCTGAAACGTGTTGTCTGTTTTATGGGACCTATTTACCAATTAAGATTACCATGGACTTTTTCATCCATTTTTTTGGTCTGGTGCTCCTTTCTGTATTTTTATGTGTTCTCCCAGGAGGATCTCCTGATCTGGACCTACAGCTCTATGTTAGAAGTGCACCCTAATGGACCCTCCGAATTGTGGAAGTCAGATCCAGAATGTGCGCCTTACCATGGCTTTCACGGAATGGAAAGGAGATGAGAGATTACTCGTTCTGTTTCATCATTTGCAATCATATTATAATAAAGATTATGTTTACTTCCACCATCCATTGCTTCATTATACAGCTCCATGGAATGATCCTGTGAATGTAGCGGCTGGGATGAGGAATATATGCAGGGAGTGAAGTGAATGGGTTCTTAGAGTCTGTGTCATGAAGAGTAAAGACGAAGCAGTGAATGAGTCAGGCCGTAATGAAGAGAAACTCTGGTGACTTGAGGAGATGATTTAAAGCAGAACAAAACAGAAGGAAAAAAAATTGCGAGCAGGCAGATTCTTTATTGCAGAAGAGACTCACCGAGGGGAATTTATAAAAACCGGAGCAGACAAAATCTGGAGCAGCTGTGCATGGCAACCAATCAGCTTCCTTACTTCAGTTTGTTCAGTTAGGCCCCATTCACACGGGAATCGGCCAGCACGTACAGCTCCGTGCTGCGTGCACAGCCGTATCGGGAAGGACAGATGCTGCGTGTGATTAATACACAGCCCCTGTCCTTCTTTATGGGACCACGCGGCCATACGCCGCCCTATGCTAACCTCAAGTGCACGTTCGTGCGCGTGAGCGTACTCGTACACTGACAGGATGGATCCTGTCTGCATCCGAGCCAGGAAACACGCACTCGCACGGA